CTAACAGCTCATTGTGCTCTGCTAACAGCTAACAGCTCACTGTGCTCTGTGGGACCCAGCTTGAATCTGACCTCCAGCAGGACAGGTGTGTTTTACCTGTGGTGTTGGAGGAGGTGCTGGGCTCCTCTGTGGAGGGGGAGGAGGAGGTGGAGGGTGGGGAGAGGACACCCTGGTTGTCTAGCAGCAACTGAGCAGCTGATTGGACGTCTCCACCCATCAGAGTGAGCGCTGCTTCAGACGCGTCCTTCTCGAAACCCAAATACAACAACTGCAGAGACACACAGGTCAGAGTTCAGATGTCACGGCCTCATCAGGTTTCCTGGCGTTCTCCACCTTCATCACTTTAATATTCTGACGTCCACGTGACTCTGGAGTTTTCCAGCCTCGAACTCAGAGACTTGATTTAGAAAATCTGAGCTTTGTGTTTCTGAACAAACAGAAACTGAGAAGTTGGAAATGAAGTCACAGATCATTCACACTGTTTTTCATTTTGAAATAATCTCTGTCCATACTAACATGCCTAAAACACATGTCACATGACCATATGCCACACTGGTCATGTGATGTAAACAGGAAGTAGATTGTCTCCTCTGCAGTTGGTTGCTTAGTAACAGGAACAGTGATGTGAAAAGTCAGAGCAGGGATTTCTTTTCTCTGAGCGACGACGAGGTGGAACTGTTCCTGACAGGAAGTGTTAGCGACGCTTTGTGTTCACCGCCGGTAGTCGAGTCATGTGACCGAGAAGAACCAATCAGGAAGAGAACGTGGGTGGAGCTTGTATGTCTCAGTGGAATCACTGGCTGTGAAACTTTTTGAGAATCAGCTGCTGTGATGTTCCTCCATGTTAGCAAATTTAGCACAACGTGAACGTCTCCATCAGCTAACGTACCTGCTCCACCTTCTCCGGACTCACCGCCCCCTCTCTGTTGTTATTGGTCGCCTGAGCAGCCTGACTGGCATCCTGGAGGATCTGAAGGTGGCACAGAATCAGAAAACATCACGAGGCAGCATATTTATACGCATGATGGTGAGAGTCAGATGCTTAACACGTGACCGGGTTACAGTCATGTGACCATTAAGATAACTCACGCACTGGCCGGTCCTTCATTCATTCATTAATTCATGTTATCAAAAGGTCTCCTCAGATAATTCATTCAAAAAGGAAGAGTGAGGATGAGACGCTGACCTCACAAGCCTTGTTCACGTCTCCGTCAGCACGGTGCAGCGCTCGGGCAGCGTCTCTCCTGGAGTGTCCCAGCTCAGCGAGGACGGAGATGTCCTCCATCCTCCTACTCCTCTTCTGCCTCTCCCTCTGCTTCAGCTCCTCTCGCTCCTGAAAAACACACCAATTAAAAATAAAGAGAACCACCATGGATCCAAAGACACACCAGATCCAGAGTCTAACACCCTGACCTGTAGGTTTCAGGGTCAGGAGCTACCTGTCTGCGGTTGCTGATGTGGATGGCGGCCTCTTGCAGGTCGCCCTGACAGGCTCTGAGTCCCAGGCGAGCTTCTTTCTCGGAGAAGCCCAGCGCCATCAGCTGAGCCATTTTCTCCGAGTCCAGACACAAATGACTGAACAGAGACTCCACCTGAAGACATTGGTTCAGACAGACAGACCATGACGCTGCGGTTAAAGACGATGACCAGCGGCATCTGTGGAGTTAACTCTGAGTTGTAGGTCAGTGTGTGAATAAACAAGCTGAACTCACTTTGGTCAGTTGGTGTCGCGCCTGAACGTCGTTTCCTTCGATGTAGGAGAGGAGACTCTGGAGGAGGTACAACCGGAGAAACAACACCTCCTCTCTGCCTGTGTTACCCTGATGAGACACACACACACACACACGATAAATTGTCTCCTTGAGCACAGATGAAGACCAGTTGTGTCACAGCTGTGCAACAACTGTCCCATTTCAAATGTGTCCCTCTGTTCCCTAGCAACGATCCATGAGTAGATCCTTCTCAGGACAACACATCCCAGGATTCATTGCACGCCGGTGATGAAGCTACGAGGTGAGTGGCTGAGCAACAGGAAGAGGAGTTGCTGTGACAGGATGTGACAGGAAATCCTCCGTAGACAGACCATCTTGTTATGGTTCAGCCCATGTGGACCCTGTCCTCTGAAGTGGATGAGTCCTGACTGAGACACATCACTGATAAAACCACGGCTCCTGTCATAACCTCCTTTATTCATTTGCACAGTAAAAAGTAATCTCACAGTTTCAAACTAGGAAGGAAAAAGTCAAGTGTTTGTAAGAATCAGAGTAACGTCTGCTCTACAGTGTCCCACAGCGAGTCACCTTGATCATGAGCAGTCGTTCTCGCCGCTCTCCATAACACTGCAGGAAACAGTCCTCGGCTCGCTGCAGACGACTCTTACCGTCGTCCAGACATGACAGAGCCTCCAGAGCTCGATAACACCACACGATGTCCAGCTGCAGGACGGCAAAGTTATCCACCGAGCTGAGGAGAGCCGAGCCGCACACACTACACACAGACACACACAGACACACACAGACACACACACTTACTGTATGAAGATGAAGTATTTTGTATTTAATTACATTCGGTGTTTGGTTGATGAATTGATTGGATTTGTATTGCTGAATGTTTGAATGGATGATTAAAGCTGTTGATTGGTTGTCATTATTGGTTTGTCAGGTGTTGGGTGGGGCTTAATGTGGAACTCACCTATCAGGTTAGTTCACTCAGTGTCATAATGGGCGGAGCCTGTGGTTTCTCACCCTATACCTACGACTATTTTCTTCTTACAAAAGTTTTGTTCATGTTCGCACTGATTTATTGTTTAATGCACAAGTTTACGATTAAACTCGCTGTAAGTGTCAGACTTCCTGTTTAACACATTCCCTTCAAATGATGTCAGACACGATGATGTCAGACACGATGATGTCAGACACGATGATGTCAGATGTGTGTACCTGAACTGCTGGTCGGCCTGCAGCAGGTGACAGAGAGCGTCATCGTACTGTTTCCGCTTCATCAGAGATCGACCTTTCTCATGGAAACCCATGGCCAGGATCAGAGCCTGCACACACACACACACACACACACACACACACACACACACACACACACACACACACACA